CTGGGCACAAACTGAATGCATTTGATATAAAAATGATTGAGTGGCAATAAACTTTATAACAGCCTACTTCAGCATGTGCTTTCTCTCCAGTGCTTGGAAGGAGGCTGCGGACTGGCCTTTCATCACTTTGGAGTGGATTTTGCAATTATGCTGGCCCTGAAAACCTGTAGAACATGACACCTATTCCCATTATATATCAGTATCTCTCATTTGTAGTTTTATGACTCCATCTTAGGGCACTTGTTTTAATTGGTTTCAGCTGATGATAGCTAACTTCAGTTATCTGCAATATTACTGCGTTTTGGGATGACGCTGTTGTGATGAGTAATAGCAGACAAACCTATATTTTTCCTTAAGGGACACAAATCATGCTTGTCTTCCAAGTGCACTGATGGTTTGGCAGGGTGAAAGGATGAAAAAAAATTGCCTTCCAAGTGCATGCAAGTAGACAACCCGAAAGGTGATTTTCTTGAGTCATATACTTCAGGTTGCTGGGTTTTACATATGGCAGGTCTCCAGAACAAATATTGCTTTTGGAAAACCTAACCAAATTCTGCCATAAGAGTTAAGTTACTGAGTATCAGGCCTCAAATGATATGCTTGATTTAGACTTCTCTGGAGTTTAAAAATTGTAAATTTTATCAGCAGTGGTTTCATGGAAAAATGCAAAGCAAAAGTCAAATGTTTTTTAAGAATAAACTTGGGCACTAGGGCTTCTAGTGAGGGTGAATTCAGCATAGAAATATAATCTATGTAATGTTTTTTAAAAGGTCGCCTTCCTTTCCTCGGGAATGCTTTGAAGGGATGCTGTCAACTCGCGTCGTATCATGGTGCTACATTACAAACCTTGTTGTAGTATCATGTGCTGATACTGAAATTTGTATTGTTTGTTGGGTCACAGTTTGAGATCTCTTTAATGGAAGGGAAATGTCAAAAGGAATCTAACAAAAGGGGAGAGAAAATGTAAATTGAGTCATTTAACTTCTCCCTGCCAGTCTCAGGCTGGCTAGAAGAGACATTTTAATGCAAAAATTGGTGCTTAGTTTCAGCTTTTGCTTTGTGGGTTCCATATTAGGAAGAAAACCAGTTCGCTGCATCTTCCCTACAAAAAAAAAAACACACCACCAGACTTCTGCTTTATAGGTGGTGTTTTAGAAACGACGTACGAAAACTGCAGCATGTGGCCACCATGCAGCCACTTCTGACTCCAAGTCAGGAGACATTTGGTGTAGTTCAGAATGGGTAAGAGCAAACTTTGACTGGAAAAAGAAGAGAGTGATAGAGATGTAGTGATATGATGGAGACTTTGGATTAGGCTGTTTGAAAATGGCCAGTCAGAGCGATTAGATTAGAATCGGAAGCACTGAAAGGTTCAAGAGCTCACTGGCAGGCGATAGATTGCACTCAGTCATAGTGCCCAAGCGAGCGGTGAATAAATGGCCTTGCAGGGAGGGAGCGTTTGGCCCCGGCTGTGGCCGAGGTGCTGGTCCTCAGAGCGGACAGCTTGCCAGAGGAGGTGTCTTGCTCCTGCTCTGGTTATGCTTCGTTGTCTCTTTGAGGCTGAGCTTGGTTGAATGCTTGGTTATGCGATGAGTAAGTGCATTGATGGTGCTAAACGGTGATTTTCCTGAAAAGAGAGGTCTGAAATGGTGTAACACTGATCTACTACTGGTGGAAAGTTTTGAACTGCTGTTGTTAGTAAGCATTTTTGGTTCAGTACTCTTAAGCCTTACTGCCCGGCTTATCTTGGAAGGGGTCAGCCCCATCCCTGTTTTCTTTCTACAGTGCAGTTACAGAAAGGCAGAATAAAATGCCCAAGGGAGGGGAGTCCTACCTGTGTTTCTCTGAGGAAACAAAGCTGAGAAACAAAGCTTTGTTATGCCATTTGCAAAAGTATTTTGGTGGAGAGATGGGAAGGCATTCTCCTGGACAAAATTGCAGCTCATCTGGTAATAAGCTCTTAAAACACTGAATAAATACTGAGTTGATGAAATTCTTCGTAGTTTTCCTCGCTCTCATCCCAAAGCCTACTGAAGAATATATTGCTGTTTTAATTCTTCCGTAAGTCTGAGCGGCTTCACTGTCTGTCTGCTGTTGTTTGTAAGAGTCAAATTATTTTAGTCATTCGAGTAGAGTATGCAAAATTTGGTAAACAGTATGCTTGTATAAGGCCCAATGCTTTCTTCCATCTCTGTGACTCTGCTTGCGGTAGTATTCCTCCAGGAAAGAAAAGGCACAAAAGGGAAGGCAGCTGTGGCAGACGTTTCCCCTGCCTTGTGTACCTTTGCTAGCAGTCTGGAGTTTCTGTAGTTGAGTGACATTTGGCTAGAAGACTCAGAATTGAGAAACAGACGTTTGATGTTCAGCCCTTTGGAATTTAGGATTTGTTTTAAAAGGATCATAAATTGCAGTAGTTGGAAGCAGCAGAATGAAGAGCAAGACAGACAAATTGACCAAACGGCAGCTTAATTTTACATTGATCTAAAGAGAAATACAAAAGGCTCTCATCTATGCCAGTCAAGAGGAGTTCTGTAAAACAGGGATAAGTTTATGACTCTAAACTGTGTCCCTTTTTGAGGAAGGGATGTGACAAGATTATAAATACGATTGCAGACACCCATAGTGTAGTTATTTAGTATAGAGGGCTTACAGTTAACCAAATTAGAAACACACAATCAGGCAGGTTCTTGCTGGATACCTCCATGCAAAATCGATGTCAGCATATCTCTCTGCAAGATGGCTGCTTTGGGCATCAACTTTCTACTGTTAGTGTCACACATGAATTATTTTTATAAAATCCATTTGGCACTGATAATGCAGGTTTTAAATATTGTGTACTACTCTGTCACATTTGCAGGACTTCTCACTAATGGCCAATCTAAAGGATTAGGACCGGGATCAGAACAGCTGGAGAATGAGAAGGACGATGCATCGCAAGTGTCCTCAACGAGCAACGATGTTAGTTCTTCAGATTTTGAAGAAGGGCCCTCGAGGAAAAGGTCAGTAGTGCATTATGACTAAAGTATAGCCTTTCTGCTTTGTCCCTGTTGTGCTAAAAGGTTGTGATTACGTTATCAGTAGGGTATGGTTGCACATACTGCCCTACCGTAAACAGACTTCCCAGTGTGAAGTCCTGCTAGTAACAGTGAGGATATAGTAAATTTTGCTTCATCCATCGGTGTAGATGGTTCTTGTTGTTGCTTTGGAAAGCATGGAAAAGCAGTTGTTGTTTTGGAGTAGGCAATTGCTAAATGAAATGCCTTAAGACTCTCTCCCCTCCTGCCCTCTCTCCTCCTCCCCTGGCTTTGGCCTTTCAGGGATGCGTCAATACGTAATGTGTGTGTAATTTCAAACATCACTGAAGTAGTGAGTGTTACTGTTGTTATTTTCAATTTTCTGTGAATGAAACAATGTGAAGTTAACAAAACAAACACAAACCCTGGCTGCTACTGAGAAGAGAAACTGTACAGGAAGGCAGTGTGGTGGATATCGGTTGCAAAGAACTACTTTGAGACATTGCTGTAGCAAGCTGCCTCCTCTTTCCTAGAAGTCAGCTGAGGTCCTTGTTGAACTCTTATGAGTTCTTATCCTGAATGTGCAAAATGTGGGTTAAAATTGTAGGACTCAAGCCAATCTATTACAGAAAATATGCTGAGAATGCAGGAGGCTGGGAGTTGTGCTCTGTGTGAAGTAAGAACCAAAACAGGCTGTCAGAAAAATGCCATGTAAAAGAGAAATGGAAAATGCTTCCTCAACCTTTTTACTGCGTGCTCCTGCATTCTCCTTGCATCCTAGTCCCAAGCCAAATGGACCGTAAAATAAAGTTCTCTTTCAAACAAAAATATTATTCCTGTTTTCTACATGCGCTTATGATTCTCCTGAGAAGCCCGATGGGGTGAGGAGAGTGGTGCTTTCCTGACACCCCCCTGTTCCAGTTCCCGTGTCCCGCACCCCTGCTGCCCACAACCTTGTCTACTCCCTGAGCAACACACTCAAAGTCTAGTTAATATGCCCACTTAGCTCCTCTGGTGTATCAGAATAAAATTTGTGTTATCTTCTCTACTGGTAGAAATTTTGTAAGGCTTACTGAGTCCTACTGCTGGTCAGGGGAAAATTATTTGTGTTTACTTTTGGCTTTATGAGACATAATGGAGGCTTGAAAATTATTTCTGCTTAGAAATGAAGGTGACAGCCACTGGAGGTGTGATCCTGAGAGACAGTGGTCATTGTTTCACAGCGTTGCCATTGCTGCTTGCACATTATCTTAAGGAATTTTTGCTGCCCTCTGTGCTTGCTTTGTGCCCTCGTTCCATAGCCGTGCTGACACAACTGGTTGCAGGGTCACACCATGAGTACATTCAAGGAGCTGGTTAGGATTAAAAATAATAGCAAGAGGAACAAGGATTGATGCTTTTTGCCAGGGTTCTTTATTTTTAACCTGCCTGAATTTTAATCTCTTGTTCACAGCGCGGCTGCAGGAGCAGCCACCGGTGCAACCAAGGGGGCATCCCCTTTCTCTCTTCGGGCTGGCAAAGAGCAGGAGGGCTTGTCCCTCACACTGTCCCTGCTTCTGCTGCCCCGCACAGTCCAGCTTCCAAATGGAGTGGGATTGCTACATCACTGTCCCAAGAAACTGCATTTGAGTATTGTGGGTGACTTTTTTTTTGAAGGAATATTTGCTAGTTTTTGGCTGTGGGAATTCAGACATTTGAGAAGCAGCTGGGTGGTTCAGGCCTCATAATAGGAAACTCAGTGCCTTTGGTATTTTGCAGGCAAAAAAACCCATCCCCAAAACAGAAGCTAAGATGAGAAATACCTTTCTGGCTTTTGTGGAACACAAGGCACCGTTTCAGTTCTTCATGCCTTGTGAACTGTTGAAATAGTAGTAGGTTTGTTGCTGCAGTTTGCTGCGAAGGAGAACGTTCCTGTTCTGTTTCCATTTACACCCAGCACAGACTCTTACCTACATTTTTTCCTCCCCCAGCTTCCCTTTTGCAGACAGACCTCCTCTGGCCGCCTCCTCTTAAGCTGTGTTGCAGCATGTTGAGTGCTTTTATGTCTTCCTCTATTTCCTTTTAGGTTTTTTGTTTTGTTTAGCTGAGTATGTAAGGTTTCCTTGATCCAGGTCTCATCTTGGGATCCCACAAAGAGTTGTGGCAGGAATACTGGCCGGACAAAGGGTATGCAGGAGTATGAGGAGGCGGGATGGGACTGAAATGGGATCTACAGGTTGACTGCCTCAGCTCATCAAGTTTTGAGAAATTGTACCCTCCTTGTCTTCCTCCTGGCCTTCCTCAAAATCAAGCTTTTCAATTGTCTGTTCAACTGTGTGTACAACTAATGGCACTCATAGTAAAATACACGTTTAAACACTGTAGCTTTAGCATGTACTTCATGCAGTTTTTTCCACCTCCCCAAAATGAGTACTTGTCGTCTTGAAACACTGTGGTATATAGCTGGTGGCATACGCAGTGAAATGATTTTGGGGATTGATGCACTTATTGAAGCATACGTGTTTGCAACTTGTTCTGTACGATATAGTGAGTTTTGAGTACCAGGTTTCCCATGGTGTTGGAACCTTGCACATATGTAAGTTACTACATAGTTTTTTATGGGTTGGGGGGTTTTGGTGGGGATTTTTTGGTGTATGACAGGAATGTTTCTTTTGGAAAATTGAACCTGTCATCTTCTGCAGGAATAGGTCATCTGTATTTAACACCTGTGATGGAAACAAAAAGAGTGCTAAGCAAGTAAGCACAGTAAAGAAGGGAGACTTGTTTTAAGGGACTCTAGTTTGTTTAGTAGTTTAAGGCTCTGGTTTGACCTTGCAGTTCTTCAGTGTAATGGCAGGCTGGTACTGTGGAGGCAAACAGTCTCTTCCCAGTTGCTTCTTCCCTCCTCTTCCCAGCTGTCGTGTCTGGCAATCTACTGGCCCCCAGGTCAGTCAGTTCAGTGGGCTGATCTGGCAGTATTTTCCCCCCTGCTATAGCAAGTCACATTATATAAATGGAATAGGAGGATAGGTTCGTGCATGTGTGCAGCATGTGTGTGTTTAATTTGCATTTATACTTGGTCCAAACTCTTCCAGTTTCAGAGATGATTTGCACAAGAGCCTGGATGAATAGCAAGTGCCAATTCTTGTAGCAAGCTGAGTGGAGGGTGAGCTTGCTAGCAGTTAGCATTGCCTTGCGGTATCAGTATGCCACTCACTTCTGGCGTGGATTTTCCTTGGATCCATACTAGGCAGTGGATGCTCCCAGTGAGTTACTGGTCCGAGGACTTAGTTGTAGTCAGGTAGGCACTGACAGGCATCTGTGGGGGAGGTAAATCCCTGCCAGCCTGCCTGTTGACCAGTAAAGAGATTACTGCCACGTATTCCTTATTTCACACATACATACCAAGCTGCGTAACCCAGCAGTGGAACCCCCAACCAAGCACTGCTTCAGGTTTATCACATCTATTTTTTTTCAGTTTCAACCCTTTTCCTAGTAATATAGCTTGATGGAAGAGCCACACGTGCCATAAAGAGAGCTTCGTGATGGGAGGAAAGAGATTGCGGTTCTGCTGAAAGTATGTTGATTTAATACAATGCTGCAGATTTTGTTCAGAAACTCACTCGGATACTTTGATGGACCAGGCTTTTGAACATGGTGGCCTGGCGATGTTAGGCTTCAAATGGCTCCAACTAGTCTTTGTAGGTACTTTGTCAGGAATTAACACCTTTGCTCTCTGGGAACTGGAGGAAGCTTCTCACACAACCAGCTTGGCGTCCAACGAGGAAAGTCCCATCTCTGCTTCTTTTTAAGTGTAGCATTTTAGATTGCGACAGAAATCATGGAACAGTGCTAAAAGTACACGCAACCTGCTTTTTGTGATGCTGCAGGCTTCAGCTTTGATAGCTTGGTGGTGGTAAGGAGGAAAAGAATTACATGTACAGCTTTGCCTCCAGATCAGTCCAAAAATTGTAAACCCTACTTACAGAATAAATGGGTTTTGGGACTTCAGAATACTTAGATTTGTTTGAGTTCCCACTCAAAGAATGGAAAATACTTGCTTTGATCTGAGCTGTGAGTTACTACTAGTGACCAGGTCTGGAGAGAAGCAGGGGGTTAATCCTAAGTAGTAAATACTATTTTCAGCCAGTAAAGAGGTGTCAGTGTTATTCTGACATTTGGCAAAAGCTAAGCATTCAAATGTTACACTGAATCTGTTGTGTAATAAGTTGCTGTCTAATTGCCATGTAAGTGAGAGCAGGTTCTAGTTCTTACAGTGCTTTTGGGAGAGGGGAACAAAAGCGTTGGTGTGCAGGATTGAGAAACTATCGGGTTGGATGATCTTCACTGAATAAAGACCATTTAAAAAACCCGTAAAAAAGGTAATTGCTGAAGGAGGAGAAATGTAACTTCAACGTAGGTGCATGTTCTTGGTATGAATCTTCAGTTTCCAGCTATGATTCTCAGTTGAGAAGGTCAACAGGTACCAGGCCAAAGGAATTTTGAGTCACTGTGCTGGATGCTCGTAGATTTTTTATGGGCAACTCTTAAAGACTACAAGCACTGGCAATTAATAAGTGTGCAGAGACAGCTATATGTTCTTCTAGCAATGGTTGCTTACCTTGCTCAAGAAGAGAGGAGCACAGAGCAGACTTGATGTGACACTATGTTAATCTTTGGTGACAGCTGGCTATTGCTTGCTTCCTGTTACTAATCAGGTGGCTACTTATTTACATGGCCCCTTTCCCAGAAATGCACACAAGGAATTGCCAAATGCAGAAATGCATTTATCTTCTATTGTAAAGTTCTCTTGAAAGAAGGCTCTGAGAAGTGGGAGGAGGTTGACTGATTTTAATAGCTATTAAGCTTTAATTTTTTTTTTTTTTTTTTTGTTAATTAAGGTTAGAATATTTTCTCCATTAGAAAACTATGGCTAGCAAGCTGGTGCATGTATTTTTTTCTTATCGTTAATATATTAATAGCAATTAAGCTTTAATTTTTTTTTT